TTTTAAAAAAAAAAAAAAAAAAAAAAATCACAATGAATATTCTAATTCTAATTTAGAATAAAAATGTATGTTCCATTTTTATCCTGTGGTATCCAATCATGTGCTTGAACTAATGTAGATTTTATGCTGTATGATTTAATGTAGATTTTATGTTGTTTATCCTAAAAAAATTATCCTAAAAAATACCTGTTAAAAATATAAATTCAATAAAATTCAATAACATTTTAACATGTAAATATCCTTGGCTTGAGAACGAGCCTATCTTCATAATATAGTTGACCCTCGTCTGAATATATGCCAGCGTGGTATTATTGTGTTCACCTGCTTATCCAAAAGCTATTACAAAAATATCATATTATAATTTTGAAGAAGAGAATGCATAAATTGCTCTAATTTAAATTTTGACCTTGGTGTTTGAAACCAACACATATCATTGCTAGAGAGAAGAAGGACTCGAGTCAACTGACTTTTAAAACTTTAAATGGATAAAGCTTTTGTAACAAGTCTAGTTCTTAAACATTTCAAATGTTATTCTAGCCCGTTAGTTTTGTAATGTTGCTCCAGTCTTTTAGATTTTAATGCTGTGCTATCCTGTCAATATTTTAGTGTTGCTCTAGTCTGGCGGAATATTATTGATATTCCTGTAGTCTTGTCTGTCTGTATTTATAGTTGTATTTATTGTCACTCTAATCTCAGTATTTTAGTGTTGCTCTAGTCTGACAGTATGTTAATATTGGATTTAAAGCATTTTGTCTTTGCTCTTGTTAGTATTTTATCATCACTCCAGTCTAACTAGAGTCAGACTGTGAATCCATATGTATTAATATTGCTCTTATTCCTTGTAGGTATATTAAAGTCACTATAGTCTGTTGTCTGTTGTCTGTTAGTATTTGGTTGTCACTCTAGTTTGTCATTGTTACTTTAGTCTGACACTATAATAATATTGCTCTTGTAGCATTTTGTTCTCGTTAGCATTTTAACATTGCTCTAGTATGTCAGTATCTTGATGTTGCTCTAGTCTGTCAATATATTAATATTACTCTTGTAGCATTTTCCT